GGTTTTGCAAGAACAGTTTACAGTAGTCCAAGGACTTTAGTTCAATTGCAGTTTTGGATCTAGTCAGCTATCTGAACCAAAGCTCTGATAAAGCTGTGGAATTCTGCACCACAAAGCATAAAAGAGTTGACTCTGACTTGGGATATTTTGTAAGCAGGAAGTTTCTATTTCTATTACCTCCATCATAAAATAACTTTAAAGGATCTTATAAAATTTAGGAAGTTTGAGCAGTGTAATTTTCACTATGTAATCCTCCCATGTAAAGTGAAGCTAATGTGTTGGATAGGATTTTTAGGATTTTGTATCTGAGTGTAGAAGAATAACTACCAAAAATAATGAGTTCGTGCTGGAATAATTAACATTGAGCTTTTTTTCTGACAGTGATTGGTAAATAGATTCAGTGGTTTCCTGAGGCTAGTTCTGGAATATACTAGTAAGACCATGTCATCAACATGGTATAAATACTGAAGGTGAGTCCCATGATACTGAACAAAATTAAACCTAACCCAGTAAGGAGATACACTTTTACTTATAGACATAGACCAGACAAGATGCCAGTGAATATGGGTTTTTTTTTTTTGGTTCATTTGGTGATCTTTATTAATATATTTAATTTTTTAGCAAAAAAAATTTACATTAACATTTAATGAACACATTTTCTTGTCTTCAGTGTATGCTAAAGTCATAGAAATAGTGAATTACTATCTCCTATAACCTAGTAAGACATCAGTAACAATGAAGAAAATATCACAATATCCATTTCTTACCCGTAACACTGAACTTAATACTGGAAACACTTTATAAAGATGCAACTGTGTTTCATTCAGTGTGTCAGTTCTCCCAAGTGACCTCAGTTTCTCCTGGGCTTTGCTGTGGTAGCTTCTGTAGCATCACTGGTTGTCTCACAGAGAGAGAGAGTCAGCTTTATCTGTTAGCTCTCGAAGTATGCCAGCGTCTCTCTTACTAGGAACCTTTGCAGAATATTCTTGTTGGTACCATTTTTTCTCATTTCCTTTCACTTGACAAAATCATCCCATCATTCAAGACTCAAGCGAAATATATTTATGATCTCCTCAGGCTGGTTTAATTGTGCTTCCAAATACAAGAGCTGCTATCATTGACCAGTTTTTCTCAAGGACAGTTTGATGAAAAAATTAAACTTTTGATGAGAAAATTAAATCTAATGCTGTAAGTCTTAGAATGGATTACATTATCTCCTCTGCATTGAAGTGAGCAATGTTTATGTAACGTCATTGGGAGAACTAAGAAAATGGTAACTCAAATCGTTTTCTGTGTTCGATGGTTCAGATAACTCCAGTTGAGAAAAGCTGTCACATATTATTATAATTTCCCCCCTTTATTTGCTGTTATCTCTCAAAGAATTGAGAGCTGTGAAGCATGGACTGCACCTTGTTCCATCATGGTGCCCCTAATGCTAGCACACTGAAGCCTTCCTTTAGGGGTCGTTGGACAGGTATTTGTGAAATGAGTGATAGAAAGAGAGAAGGTTCTTCTGAAGGCACTTTGATGGTGGAACTGTATGAAGTGACCAGGAATCATATCACAGTGTCCAAGACGAGATCAGCGAGCCTAAGTCACATATGAACTAGTGTTAACATTTGAAGGGTCCAGTCGGGTGGGGAGTGTGGGTGTAAGCTCTGGTTAGAGGTCTGAGAGAGCCACAGGCCTGAACTGATTCTGAGCTTTCAGGTCGTCTTCCTCCTGAGTGAGCTGGTCTAGGTCAGCAGCGACAAAGATGTGAAAAGACCACATGTGTCATTATCCAGCGGGCTAGCATGGGTTCCTTTCAGGGTGGTGATGACAAGGGCTCTGAGAACAGCAAGAGAAGAGAGGCTCAAATGCACAACTGGTCTTCAAGTAACTACGAGTTTCATACATATTTGCAATTGTGCCTTTAGCCACAGGGGTCGTGGACTGTTTGTTTGTGTCCTCCCCATTCATATGTTGAAGTCTTAACCCCCAAAGTAATGGTACTTGGAGATGGGGCCTTTGGGTCCTAATTATGAGGTTGTGGATCTTATCTGATGGAATTACTTATAAGCAGAGACACCAAAGAGCCTGATCTCTCTGTACCCAAGAAAAGGCAGTGTAAGCTCACAGTGAGAAGACAGCTTTCTGCCAACCAAGAAAAAGACTTTCACTAGAACCCAAACATGTTGGAACCCTGACCTTGGATTTCCAGCCTCCGTAAGTGTGAGAAATTAATGTTCTGTTGTTCAAGGCACCCAATTGATGGTATTTTGTTACGGCAGCCTGCACAACAAGAAGTCACATGGCCAAGTAAATATAAAAAGGAACTATTTAAAGAAGTAGAGACTATTATAGGAGGGGAATAATTTGTGGCCAATTTTGCAGTCTACCATAATTGAGACATAGTCTTTAAGTAAATATGATTCATGTAGGTGTCATAAACTAATGAATGATGCATCTTTGCTATAAAATATTTTTTTAAAGCTAATCCTTTAGGAAAAAGTGACCCGGAGTCAGATATTCTGATATTCTTTGGTGCTTACAAATCACGCACGTACTTACTAAGTGCGCTTTGGGACTATTATGTGCTTTACTGGTTTTGCAGGTTAGCTCATATGTCCCAGCGGATATATACAGGAGCCCAAATGACAACTCAGGCTAAAGACTCATTAAGTCCACCTTCACATAATCTGTTCAAAATTTAAAATTTCTATTATTTCATTGCCAATTGACCTTCAGGCAAGTTGTCAAGAAATTTATGAGGGTAGCAGCATGAATATGTGTTCCCAAATGTCTGTTGAGTAAAATATGACTCATGGTTTTCTTGCTCCTGAAATGATTAAGCCTCAGACCTGAAGTTGACAGCGAAGTCATTGTACAGATTGATGTCTTCAATGACTAATATGTGACAGAGCTTGCTTCTGATTTATTATGCTGCTAGGTACAAACAATTTACCTCATTTTTTAGCATTTTTACTATGCTCTTTCACTAATTGGATGGAAACATTCATTTACTTTTATATTGAGGGCATATGCATTTTGAATAAATCAATCATTTTAAATTAAACTTTTATTTTTAAAAAAGCTTAATTTTAATGTGTTTTTTTAGTAAGCTGATATGGTCTTGCTCTTTTCTTTTTTGATATCATGTAGCTCCTATTTTGTTTGTTCATTTCTAATGGTAAACCTAATAGTTATATAAAATGTATTTAGTAACTATTAGATTTTTATTATCATTTACTATTCAAGCACAGCAAATGTACTTGAAAAACAATCATAGACAATTAGGTCAGTCTTTAGTAACTGAGCTTGTAATTCCTGGAAAACAGAAAACTAAGAAATCACCTTTCTCTGACTCCTAAGGATACTTTGAATAATGTTTTAAATTTATTTTTTAGAGAATTAAAGTATTACTCATTAAAAAAGGAAACAATGCAGTAAGTGGAAATGGAGGAAGGAAAGACAGTGCACAATTCCTTTCTGTAGTATTTTTATCTACTAAGTAGGTAAAAGAACATTATTATTTATTATGCAGCTTTTATATCACATATATTTTTGATAAATACAGATTTTAAGTAATATTTACATAAATTAGAATATTTCCTAAAGCTGAAGTGACTCTCCTATAGTATATAGTTGGGTCTTTTTTTTTTTTTTTTGTCATTGTATACCTTTTCATTAAGAATTTAATCCACTTACATTTAAAGAAATTATCCATAGACGAGGCCTTACTAATGCTATCTTGTTAATTGGTCTTTTACTAATTTATATCTCCTTTATTCCCTTTTTTCTCTCTTGCTGTCTTTTATGAACTGATGTTCTTTAATAGTATACCTTATTTAAATTCTCTTTTATCTTTTGTGTCTCTTCTGTAGGTTTTGCTTTGTGCTTACTATGGTCTGTTTTATACTGATAACAACTGAACTCTGGTTGCATACAAAAACCCTTTCCTCCCCCTGCCCCACATTTGATGTTTTTGATGTCACAATTTACCTCTTTTTATATTATGTATCCATTGCCCAATTATTGTAGTTATTGCAGTGTTTTTAATATATCTGCCCTCCTGTCTGTCTCCGTGGCTACTGCTTTATGATGGCTTTTCTAGAAATTCTACTGCAATAGAATTTAACTACTTTGTTGATATATCCTCTGTCTCACTTCAGCCATAGTCTCTGATCTACCTCTAGGATTATTTCTCAAAATGCAGACTAACTAAGTCCTTTTCTTGTTCTGAAGGAGAACATAAGTTCCAGAACTTTAAGATGAATAGCTCATGTGCCCTTTTACCCTAATTTCTTTTCAACTACACCATGGTTTCATGCTGCCTCTCATTTGTAGGTTATAAGAACTAGTACTTTTTTGGCCATCTGTTACCACCCCCAGTCTTACCACATCCCAGTCCATCCCAGGAGTGGCTCCCGTTCATCTTTCAAGATTCAGCTCAGCCAAGTCAGTGTGTCTTCAACCCTTCTTGAGACTGTTTCTTGACTGTCATCATTTATTCTGGATTTTCCTCCTCTTAACCTCATAGAAATCTGAATTGATCCATCTAATGATGGTTATAAAACTATGCTGTAACCATCTACTTCAAAATTTACCCCCTAGATTGAATTATTTCATAGGTCTGGGACAATGTGTTTTGTCTTAGTCATCTTTATATTTCCAGTGTCTGGCCCCATCTTTGGCATAAAATGAGATACCCAGTAGATGTTAAGTGAGTCACTAATGAACAAACGCCGGAAAGAGAATAACAATGTTCTACCTTGATTTGATCATCAGAGCAAAATTAGAATGAAGCGTGGTAAGGCTTACCTCTAGGAATAAGAACTCGGAATAGAAACTCATTTCCAGTTTAATTATCATCTCAGAGAGAGGCAGGATCTGTGATTGAAGACCAGCACAGTTAATACTACATAAGCAGTGGAACTTACCCGTTTTTATCATTTTTACTATTTCCGCGTGTTTTCCACAGTGATCACTAGTAACCACCTTTCTTTCTCACTGTAAAGGCATTGAGGAAAGGCAGGTTTAGGGAGACTGGCCTACTCTGAGGTCCAGACTGTAAGAGCAGAACTTCTACAAAGGACAGAGAGGCAATGGACAAGACTGGAAACCAGGCTGAGTCCCTGGGACCCAGAGCCAAGGAAGAATGAAGCAGAGGGTAAGTGAGTTTGTTGTGAGAGCTTTCAGGAGCCGTGGAGCTGAGCATTGCAGAGCACGGGGGACATTTTCCAATATACTGTTTTCCACCTAATAGTTAACCAGAGTTGAAAAACAATCCTGAATTTTATAGGAATTTAGTCATATCTATCTTAGACTGAGATTGAATTGTCTTACTCGCTGTAGTTTTTGGATTGAGGAGAAGGCAGGGAGCAGAGGGTGAGGTTCTTCAGGCTGCACTCCTAGAAGTGAATAAAACAAGAATTCCTTCACATTGGGCTCCTATATCTGTAAACCCTTTTTGTGTTTCCTCCTACCCCAGGGTGAGGTTACTCCTAACCTAAAATAATTCCCTCTTTACTTTTTATACAGGGCATCAGTCTGTAATTATCTTGTTGATAACATTTTTTCTAACCAAATTCTCTGTTGTGATAATCTCTGTGTTCACCAGGAGATGCATACAAATTAGAGCAAGGTGTAAGCATGGTGAGGGGTGAAGAGGGGTGCAGAGTAGTTCTTACTTTGCAGCCCCTTCTAAGGTCAGGTGTGACTGAGCATAACGTTGCAGATAGCGACTGAACTTACAGCCTTTCTTAGTCTCTTGTATTTGGATGGGGAGCTCTCTGTTACTCTCTCCTTTGAGAAGGTCAGCTGTGGGAATAACTGGTCATTTCTTCTTCGGTCCTTGAGGAACATGGCTCAGTCAGGCTGAACTCCTCCCAGGATAGGGTTAGGTTGAAAGAGCTAATTACGTCCATCACGTAGAGGAGCCAATTAGAGCCTGTGACTCCGGGAATCCCTTAACACTGCTTTACTCCCCAAGGTCCTGGTGATAAATTTTATGTGTTTGACCCCAACCCAGTTGGGTGAAATTAATCCTAGAAATTCCAAAATGTTTGACAGGAACTCAGCTGGCCTTTATAAAAGTGTTTTGTGAGGCCAGAATTTTTTTCTTTTACTTACTTTTATTTAGTCCTTTGTGAATCCCGTACCCTATTTACTGAAATAAATTCTACCTTTTGAACTGAATTCATTGAATAGATCTAAACTTTATCATTCTCTCCAGATAATGATTCTAGCACCAATGTCTATTTCAGGATTGCATGAGTAGCAAATGACATGTTTGGATTATTATATTATTTTTGAGGGCTATTTAATAGAATGCACATGAATGTCTCCCTTCTGAGGGCTAGAAGAAGTGAATTATTATTTTTTAAATGGTGTGAATTTTTGCATATCCTGGAATGAAGTTCTTTACTCAGCTGACGTTACTGTGGAAAGCACGATAAAGAATGTAAATATGATTTATTCATGTTTTATGGTCTCAGGATACAGTCTCTGATGGGAGGGAGGCATGAATAATTTCAAAAACAAACTAGAGTATGATATAACCAAATAGCTTTATTTGAGAATTTAGAGAAGGGGGATTTTCCTTTCTCAGAAATAATTTCATAGCCAAGACATGAAAACAGCCTAAATGTCCATTATCAGATGACTAGATAAAGAAGCTATGGTATATTTATACGCTGGAATACTATTCAGCCATAAAAACCGACAACATAATGCCATTTGCAGCAACATGGATGCTCCTGGAGAATGTCATTCTAAGTGAAGTAAGCCAGAAAGAGAAAGAAAAATACCATATGAGATCACTCATATGTGGAATCTAAAAAAAAAAAAAACATAAATATAAAACAGAAACAGATTCATAGACATAGAATACAAACTTGTGGTTGCCAAGGGGGCAGAGGGTGGGAAGGGACAGACTGGGACTTCAAAATGCAGAACAGATAAACAAGATTATACTGTATAGCACAGGGAAATATATACAAGATCTTGTGGTAGCTCACAGTGGGAAAAAATGTGACAATGAATATATGTATGTTCATGTATAACTGAAAAATTGTGCTTTACACTGGAATTGGAAAAAACATTGTAAAATGACTGTAACTCGTTAAAAAATAATTTCGTGATTTTATTTTAAAAGGTGTTTATTTGTGTGGAAGGATGGGTGTGATTTCATCACATGACAATGCGATAGGATTAGATAAATGGAGAGAAGGGGGATTTCTTGGAGAAAAAGCTTTCTGCACTAAAACAAATCTGGGAGTTCTGCATTCTGTAACTAAAGCAAATGGAAATGCCCATTAACATAGGGAAGACGTCGAGAAATTGTGAAGTAAGTGCACCATTCAGTAAAGAATTTCTCAGGTCTACCAGATCATTTCCCTGGAATGCCTATAAGCACCCTGTGAGGCAGGTGTTTCCTGGTACAGTGGGATTTAAATCTGCAATTTAAAACAGACTGGTAAAAATGGGCGAGAAAAATTTGATGTAGTCACATTTTGTAATGTCTTGGAGTCCAGGCTTTGGTGTTCCATTGAAATCTCTGAGTGATGGAGTAACCCAATGGAGAGATGGAGTGCTTTTGGTAGACTGATTCTGAAGAGAGGCTGGAAGTGCAGAGAGGTGTGGGAGGCGAGGAAGAGAGACTGAAGATGAGACAGTTCTTTAGGGGACTGTGTGAGAGGAGCATGTGAACCACAGTGGTCAAAAAGAGAGGTGGAACGAAAGACGTATTTAAGAGCTGTTAAAGAGAAGATGACTTTAAAAAAGGTGAGGGGGAGGAAGAACTCAATCTTTCAGCCTCGGGGCCGACTATCATTACAATTAACAGACTTGAGGGAATTTAACATTTCAGTGAGGCATCCTTTTGAAAATGTCCAGGAAGCAGGCAGAAAAGAATTTTAACTTAGGAAAAGGAATAGCACCAAGGATGGAGAACTGGGAGACACCAAGTATAAATGCAGTAGCTGGATTTATAAAGGTGGAAAATATTGTGGAGAGTTTGTAAAGAGAGAGGAGAGTCAACAATAAAACCTTTAGGATAGCTCACGTAGGTTGGACCTGAAGGCAAAATCTAGCCGTGGCAGGAGCTTCAATGATACAGTGGGACAGAAGCCAAAGCCTCAATTAAAAATTGCTAATACGATGGAAAACTGGAATGAGACAAGGCCCAGTGGCTTTGGAAGCCAGGAAGTCAGCTCATCTTCAAGAGAACATTTATTCAGTGAAACTTGCAAGAGAAAGAGCTGAAGGAAGGAATGAGGAGTAGGTGGTGAGAAAGAAGAGGTTACAAGGAAAGGTGGCCTCTTGTGAAGTTTCGAAGTGAGGATGAGAAAAATCCAGCGACAACACCAGACAAAAAGAGGATCTACAGAAGGTTATGCTTTCCCACTATTTTTAGGCTTGAGGAGATAAACACATTTTGTGGGCTAAAGAAAAGACTGATACATTGAAAGTAAAGTGTGAAAATGATTGGAGCCAGATCGCTGAGGCAGGCAAGAGACACTTCATCATCATCAGTGATGACAAGTAAATGGACAGCCTGAGAAAACGAGAGATGCCTTTTTCTCTAGGACGGAACAGGAAGGAGTGGTGTGTTTGAGATGGCGGGGAAAGACAGGAGTCCCCCGTCCTGCTGTTCCCACGTCTGGAGTGTTGTCATTCCCTGGAGCAGGGCAGAAGGGGTGACAGCCTGAGGCTCCTACTCAGCCTCTTGTCCTGCTGTCCATCGGGCTGGGAGGCAGGGGACGGGCAAACAAAAGGTCAGAGAAAGCATCGCACTGTCTTGTGCATCACGGACTGTAAAGGCAGCCTAAGGGCCAGGGAGTGAGCTTGACATCCAGACTGCAGCAGAGTGAGAACAAAGCTGAGTGACCGCCTGGAACAGACCTGGCCCCAGCAGCAGGAGCGTCTCTGGTCGGGGAGGAGGGGTGGACGCTAGAATGTCAGGGGAAAGGGCGAGGTGGAAGCCAAATTAAACTAATAAAACTTCCCGGCCTGGTTGGCAGCCAGACCTGGAAGAGGGTAGCCGACAGGCCCTTGGGAGAGTGCTAAGGGGGACCGGGTGGACGCAGTGTGCAAGGACCTTCCTCCTACTTCGGTTTGGTGCAGGCGTGTCATCACTTCTCAGAGGACCGTGTCTGCTTGTTTGTGTGTTTTCGGGGGATCCGCCGTCTTCAGTCATACAGTAAGGGCAGGGGAAAGGGAAGTTTTTCTTTTCTTTGCATTCGGGCTGAGGCTTCTCTCTGGTGACCTTCTCGAAGTGACACGCAGGATTGAACCGATTGATTTCTTTCCAGCAGCTCCTGCAGCTCTCACCCGGGTTCTGTTTAACATCGGGTTGGTTTTTGTTCCAGTCAGCACCAACTTCATTATCCATGTTCAGTGAATGTCACGTAACGAGAACTTCCGATTCTAAATGCAAGGGCTTGAAATTGCGAGCTCCACGGGGCTTTCCAAGGAGGCTTCCTTCCTTTGAGAGGATCTTCTTGGTGAACCTTGGGGATGTCATAAAACGTGAGGAAAATGATCGCTTTTGGCTCTGCCTCCTGTTTCAGCTGGGTTTTATTGATCTTTCGTAAGAAATGACTGCAGTTAACATTCCCACTGTTGTCAGTGTCATAAACTTTATAGGTAAGTTTGACAGGAGGCATAGATACCTTTTAGAATGTTTGTACACCGTCAGCTCATACGTTATTAATGATATCTTTAGTGACTATTTAAATTCTATTGAACATGATATTTTTATCAACCAATATATGATTGACATGATTTCCACCTTTTTTTTTATTTAAGAGTATGAAATTTGGCAAATATCGGAGCTAAAACTATATAATGTATGAATTGAAAGTGAAAGACATCATTCTTTAAAACATTTTGAACATATAGTGTGTGAGGGGCTGTTTTCATTCTGTCTTTGAATAATATCTTCATGTGGTTTATTTGCAACGTGGAACAAAATTGTCCCACTTCTAGGAGAACAGATTCTGTTAAAGGGCACAAAATATGTTTCAGCATTTTATCTTGATAAATGAAAAATTCTTCAGAACTAACCAGTTCCTCTGAGGATCTCACACAGTGATCTTACTTTTATGGAAAGTAAACTGTGATTTGGGAATTGAATAGAATTCTAAGCACACTTAAGGAACTAATGCT